GGGGGGGGGGGGAATGGTTTATTTTCAAACTTAATTGCTGTTAGTTGACTAGTTATACGATTAGTCGACTGGATATAAGAACTTGATACTAGTAAAGACAGAATTTAAGATGCAGAATTTAAATGCATGAATTAAAAACACCAGAGTTTTTATACTGGTTCGGATTCAATGTGAATCCTAGTCCAGTCCCCTTGGGTTGCAAAGGAGTACCTTTTCATGAATGAGTTTCTTCGAGAGTACAGAGAATGGTGTGATCTACACCGATCGCTTAGACCTTATTTCACTCGTTTCTTTTTTATACAATGCCTCACCAGTGTTGTTCTCTCTTTCTTCTCTAACTTGTAACACAACAGATCTAGTAGAGCTACAATGTTTGTTTATAGTAGAATAAAGAGAGGGTATTTTGGTTCGATCAAAGTATATCGTTCTAGAGTACAGTTACAGGTTTAAATACTTTGAGAGAGGCTTGGTTTCTACATAGATTTGTCAACCCAAGAAATTTGATCCTTGGAGAGAAATTGATTCTTTCCAAGAAGAAGGTCATACAACAACGATTATGATTACGAGATCCTTAATTGATGTTCCATATATGCTTCCCAAGATCTTGCACCTTCCGGATTGGGTACGCTTGACTTGATTGATTCCTTAAGATTACGCTTGATTGATTCCGTCTTAATCCAGGATTGCTTCTCTTGATTCCTTCCATCTCGTAGTTGTCCATTGATTTCGTGATTTTTGCTAATCTCGGATTGCTTTCCTTAAGTTCCCCGATTAATTGCTTCCATCTCGTAGTTGCTCCTTGATTCCTTGATCTTCTCTAATTGATTCCTTCAATTGCTATCCATGAGTTCCTGCACAGATATATTATTTGCATCATTAAAATCAAATATAGCAATCTCCCCCTTTTTGATGATGACAAAATAATATATATGTATAAACAACAGTTGACTTCCCTATGTTTACTTCCCCTCAATGTATGCAGTTGACTGGTCCATGGTTATAGATGTTGCAGTCGACTCCTGCTGCAGAGGATGCTAACGTATACTTACCCTTTAGTCGACTAACTTTCTATACCTGTGTAGATATACTTGTGTAGATACATACATATATCCTTCTCCCCCTTTTTGGCATCAACAAAGAGGGAACTAAAACATGAACTAGAATAAGTTATATAGCATTGTGCAGCAGAGTTATAGTCCTAAAAACAACCAGAACAAAACAAGAAATAGAAATTGTCCAACGGCTGATTTAACAGTCCAAAAATAACACATCAAAAAAATTGTCTTAAGCAACCACATTAACGATGCAGAAAGTAGGTAAGAGTATTGCAGATGGACTCCTTCAGTTGTTCAAAGCTGGCATGGCTGAGATGCTCGTTCCATAAAACCTGTCATGAATCTCCTTGAAAGACTTGACAGCGTTCTCCCTTACTCTGAGAACGACAACTCTTATCTTGGACACATCAGACCCTTTTTCTTTGGAGATGGCATGAATGTCACCAACAATTGACTGAGTGGTTGTGAGGAGATCTTTAATTTCAGAGACTTGAATGTCAATGACCCAAAACTTCTCACCAAGATCAGGATCACCAGGATTAGGATGAGCGACAGAAGGTTTGGGTTTGGGATCTATTGGAGCATGCTTTACATCACCTTCGTTCTTCTTAACCCATGATCCTTTCACACTCACATATCCCATACTAACAAAGGCTCTAGAATTGTAAGATTTTGAAACACTGATAAAGGGATAAGCAAACAGGGAAATTTGATGAGCTTTCAGTATGTGAGTGATGGCCATATTGTTTACCATGAAAATGATAATAACAATTAAATTTGTTGATGGGACTCTAAAAATACGTGACCTATTTTTATGCTAGTTGTTAAGCAGTTGATGCTAGGTATGTCAAGTTTAAAAGACGAAACGCAAACTAAAGTAGAGTTATAACCAAACCGGGGAGTTGGCTATTCAGGCCTCGGACTGACTGATGAGGGGCCTCGAGGTCGATGTCTGGGCTCGGGCTCGAGATATTGGGGATAATTGGGAAATGGCTAACAGTTAGGATATGATTAAGGGAGGCTCTTTATGGCCAACGACAAGCAATAAATGAAGAACCAGTATGAAGTCAACAAATAAGCGCAATAATATCGAAGAAATATGTTAAGAGAGAAAAGAGAGAGAGAGAGAGAGAGTTGTTATTTATCTTATGTATAATAGTTGGAGCAACAACAACCCTTTACAAAATGGCAATGATCTCCTTTATATAGGAGGGGAATCCCAACATAGTACAAAATGCATTAATTATAAAGGTATGGAGATGGGACGGCTAGACGTGACACCACGCTCTGCCAGTGCTATCTGCTCGCCTTAGGAACTCCCCATCGCCGACATCGCCGTTGGGTCAGGCGTAAATGGACATCGAAGGAGAGAACTCGACCACAACCTCGCAGCCTCGAGATGACTTCCCGAAACACCTTAATGACAAGGAATTGGACCCTCCGATTTCACCGTATACAGATAGTCTCCGCATTTACTGGAACGAAGTAATAGGAAACAATTTTGAGTCGTCGTTCCGAGGGCATCATTGCCATGACGTCAACCTATAAGAGCATTAAATGCCATTCCCCAGAAAACCGTGCAAGGGTCGCCATCAAATGCGATTATTGAGGAACCCACGAAATGATATTGGCTCATCATTTCCGCTTCCCAAGCGATTTCTATAAATATATCGACTATTTGACAATCCTTATCTTCGTTGCGTCTTCAAATTCACGAGTCCATACCCATCTTCTTGTACACTCTTCTATCTCGCTTTCTGAGAGGAAACTTTACCATTGCTATGGCAGGACTTCTAGAACGATTCTCGGCGGAATGAAGCTGTATCTTCATCTCATTCGTCTAAGGAGAAAGCCAATGCGATAACCACCTTGGAACCGTGCACTCCTTCCAAGCTTGATATGTCAAAAGATTTTACCGTTGATATCACTTTATCCATGTCGGGCCGATGTGAACATGTGTCCCGATACATTAGTGTCGTGACCAACATAAAAGTGGTAAGGATAGACTGCTAATGGAGCGAGACAGTTGAGGTGGAAATTCCCGGCCCTGATGAAAATATAACGGACTATAAGGTCGGCTTCCTTCATGCGTATACCTAACCGTTCACCTTGGGTCCTGCTGATTCCTCTGAATCCTCCCCCCCGGAAATAGATCCGGTTATCCTTGATTTTTGTGACAAATATCAAGTGACGCTCAGTCAGATCTATCCTTCTGTTTGGAGGATAGTATTGATGGTCCATCATTTTACTGAAAGGGTTATGGGCGAGACTTTTACCCTCAACCATTTGATTAGGTTGTACATCCCTCAATTTTATCGAGGTTTGATCAGGCTCCATAATCGATCCAGAAAATCATTTTTCTTGAGCACAGACGAGGGGAAGGATCGGGGGTGGATAAGTAGGTTCATTCGAATAAGGGCCTCGGACATCATTCCATCCCTGAGGATGCCTTTCCCAGAGAAATGGAACACACAGCGTAAGCGGTTTTCCCTTAACCATTTTTTATAAATTTCTTCCCTTTCCCCCGAAATAATGACTTCTTTGCCGTTTCACGCAACCATCGTTTGGTACCCCAAGGCGATTTCTGATTTACTGGGGTGGATCAAATGATTAGACACTGCGTTCCCGTACCATGTCCGGTCTTGGACCGACCTGGACAAGGAGAGATGGGTGTCCAAGAATCATGGTAAAGCTTCTGTGCCATCTATATCTTAGATTTGCATTTCTCCCCGCGTCCCTTGCACTGAAAAATTGTGATTATCGCGCTTGTGCAGGCCTCAGTGAGAATATGGAGATGAGGCCACCCCCTGGTAGTGAAACGAAGGCTTTGGAGCCCGGCAAAGGGCAAGAAGAGGGAAGGTAAGGCGGCTGCTGATCCTCCTATGGCAAAGAAACCCAGATCACTCGAGCATCAAATCGCTACTAGGACCTCTGCTTCAACTTTAGGGGAAAATCCCGGCATTGAGGATGAGGATGACAATGAATGCCAGTTAGCATGGAGGACAAGGTCGAGTGCGGGAGCCTCGTAGGTGCCTCGAACGGAGGCTAATGAGTTTGGAACGACTGACTTAGGTCGGTCCCATAGACCGAAGACCCTTGAGGAGGGTGTTAACGTGACCTAGGATCGCATGATCGGGTTTGGCGTAGTTTCCGTTAGAGGGACCGTTGCTATCGATCCTGAAGAATCGGGGCCCAGAGCTTTTCAGGAGCAGGGGTTGCCTCTTGGGGAAATAGGTGACATGATTTTCATCTCATGCTTTCAGGTCTCGTCAGGGGAACTGAGGGACTCTCCAAAAGCGAACGCCGTCAAAGTGGGGATTCCTCTCAAAGTGGGAGGCTCACTTGCCAACATCTTTGATGGTATTAGCGATAGCGTAGGTCTTGACGTTCCTGCCGCCGTCAAAGAGGCGGAGAGATTCATGTCGTAGGTGATATCTATCTTTCGTATATTTCTTTTAGTCTTGGGCATCATTCTTCATTTTTCTAACTCTTCCGCTATGTCACAGTGCAAGGATATGTATGATCATGCCTTCTTTCGGCTCCGCGAGGAGCTTTCTTATCGTGAAAAGGAGTGTAAGAAGCTTACCTCGAACCTGCAGGATTCAGAGGCTCACTCTGCCCGAGGAGAGAAAGAATTAGGAGAGCTTCGAGCTACTTTGGAGAGAGCGTTCCGGGAAAAGGCTGATCTCGCTGCGCAGGTATTTCGCCCTACTTGTACCCGACCATTGCTCCCATATTCCAACACAAATTGTCTTACATTTCTTTTGTAGGTCGAGCAAAATGATTCTCAGATCCTCGGGATGAGGAAGAAAAGCGAGATAGCGACTGCGGAGTTGGCGACATCCCATGATCTTCACAAGAATGCTCGGATGGAGATTGCTGCCTTGGCCGCGGCCAAGTCCGAGATTGAAAGAAATGCTGCCACTTATTTGGATGATGCAGCCACGACACATAAAATATCTTGTGATGTATCGATAGTAACTATGTAGAAGCTGGCCCAGGCTATTAAACATGTTAAGACGGAGGCGAGGAGAGAAACCCTGGAAGAGATCGGAGCCAGGGGCGTCGATCTGTCAGTTGATCTCGAGGAGGCCCGTGAATTGGAGAGAGAATTGGCGCTTTTAATTGCCTCAGATGAAGGCAAAGATAGCGGTGATGAAGAGTAGTCCCCACGTTATTTTGCATCCTTTCTTTTTCCTTTTATATGCAATCCCCGGGGGATGGATCTTGTAAAGATGTCTCTTGTGGATACGTTTTTGGCAATATAAAAAAGGGACTTTTCTTCTTTTAGTTTTTTTGTTCCTTTGCTTTCGTGGATTTAAACTTTCGACTTTTGATGTTAGCCCTTCGAAATCTATTGTTGGAGCGATCGGGACCCTCAAATCGGGCCATGCCCCGGGGTTAAATCGAAATCTTCTAACGGGCCGGTGCCGGTGATATCGAGGAGCCCTGAGGCCTCGCTGTTTCTCGAATTCTGCATGGTAGCAACATTTGCTCAATCTGGTAAAGGGGCCCTGGAGCGATTCTGTTAGTACGTTTCCCTAGGGGAGGGTGATGTTAACGCGACCAGAATTAATTATCCTTTTGGGTAGCCGGGTAGTTGCTACTTTGCCCCTATATATTCATTCATTTGCCTTTCCAATGGTGATTCTACTGCTTTGAGGGACTACCTCTTCCACAGAGCCTGACATTCTGTGCTAGTTCTTCTGTTGCTTCAACTCAAAATTTTTGCTCAGATCCACATCTTTCTCCTCCTATTCTATCATAGCCATGACTGCTACGTCGGCGTCTGACCGCCAAGGAGAGGAGATTTCTTCCTATGCTCCGCATTCGGTTGGTGATAGTGACACACCGCTGGTGCCCGGTGAGCAGGCCTCGAGGTGCCTTGCCTCGAGGAGGGCCATCACGCTGGGGAGGCCTCCCAATGTTCCGGGTCACTGGAAGCACGTGTCGAGGATCATCTCATCACTGGGAAAAGAAAACCTCGAAATGATCAGAAAAGATTACGGATGGAGAGAAGGTGCAGTATTACAAGTACCTTCTTCCGAGGAGAGCATCATGACATATGTTGAGGGGTTTTTGAGTGTATACACGCATATTTTTGTATCGGGGTCGTGCTTGATTTCTGTTGGAGATATCGTATTACCTTGGCACAAGCTCACCCCTTCTTTGGAAAATAGTGTAGGCGATGAGATATTTCGCTGATAAAGCCAGAATAGAGTTTACCCTCAGCCATCTCGTAAGGTTATATAGGCCACTGCGTTATCGGGGTTTGCTCGCTTTACAACATCGATACACCCAAGCTCCTATCGTCGGTAGCGAATAGGATGAGGACCATTGATGGATGAATCGGTTCGTTTGGATTAACGACCGATGTGATACCTAGAGAATTTTTTACATTTCCTGAGAAATGGAACTTCACACGTAAGTGTCTCACCTGAACTATCATCGTTTTGACCATAGGCGGGCTCCGTAATGATATCTTTCCGTTCCATATTTGTAGTAACTCATTGGTCACCGAACGAGGTCCCCGATTTAGCTGAGTGGCCTCGTAAGCTGGCAGCTTGCTCAATTTATGATAAGCATCGCTGGCGAGATCTGTCCAAAGGGAGATGGGAGGCAAAGCATCGTGGTAGGTGTCCGATGTTTTGTTTCCTGAAAATGGCGCTTTTCTTGTCAGCTTATTAACTCAACTGCCGCAGGTATCAGAGATTTTTCCGAAATGAGGTCGTGTCCTCCGGGAGAGGAGCAGAGATTGTCGGCCTCGGGATCGATGACAAACGAAAAGGGGCTCCAGGGCGTGAAGGGGCTTGTAGTGAGGTGACACCTTCTCAGCGGTTAAAAAGAAGCAATTTGATCGGTCGGCTATCTTCTGAAGGTAGTAAGCCATCGGATATTGGCTCGGCCTTTGGTGAGGCTCAGCGGCTCAGCCTCATGGTGAATTTTTGATTGTTGTAAGATTATTCCGTTCCTGTGCTCTTCTTTTTTCATTTAGTTTTCTTTCATAGACCTTCAATAGGCTCAAATTCGAGCTGCTTCACTGTGAGGCCCCATTGCTAGAGGCTTTGGATAGGGAAAAATCCCTTAAGCTTCTCTGTGCGGCAAAGAAAAACGAGCTGGTTTCTCTACAGCATGAGGTGGACCAGAGCCGGAGCCGTGAGAGCTGCCTAGAAAAATAGGTACCCTGCATTCCATGCTGGCTTGCACTCCCCTTTTCATCTCAGTGGATTAATGTTTTGATATTTCAGTTGGAGAACAAGGCGGAGGAGCTGGGACAACTTTGGGGCGAGGTTGGTCGAGCCAAATGCAAATTCAACGAGCTGCAGGAGCATGTAAGTACCCATTTTGCGGCCAAAGAGAGTGCTTTAGCCATGGTTTCTGCTCTTGAGGTGCAAATCCGGACCGTTCGTGCGAATAATTCTGCACGGGCAAATATGATCGCAAGGCTTTCGTTCGAGCTTTCGAAGGCGAAGGCCGAAGTGGTGAATGTCCGGGCCGAGGTTGTGATGAGCAACACCAGGGCGGGATAAAAAGCGGTAGCCTATTCGAAGAGTGCTGTCGTTGCTAAAGCTGAACTGAAGAGAGCACTCGATCGTACAAGCAGTAGCAAGGAGTATGAGAAATGCAAATCTCGGAGGTAAATTCTCGAGGAGATTCACGCTAGGGGCTTTGATCTCTCGGAAGAGATCGAGAAAGCCAAGGGGGAGGAGTATGATGCCAAGTTCCTTTTGTCCGATACTGAAGATGGCGAGGAAGGGGCTGCCAGGCCATAGTTACCGAGGGGGGATGTTTATTTCTTGCCTTTTTCTTATGTATATAGCTCTCACAGTGTGTTGTAAACGGAGCTTGTATTTTATCACCTGTATGTATAAGGGGGAAACCCCGTAATTTGTATCTTCTGTGTTTCTGTTTATCAAGATTTCAACCAGGTCGATTCGACCTTTGGGCTAGTAGAAATCTTTAGATTCGTGTTACGACCCTGATGCTCGTTAGGCTGGCGACAACGACTCTTATGCTTTGCCCTTGGGCATATGCATTTTAACTATTTTGGGTTCAGTCTCCGAGTAGGGTTTCGACTTGAGCTCAATCGACCCTCAAGTTTTGTATTTGTGTGGGCTGGTGACAATGGCTCTTATGCCTTGGGTCTAAGCAACCTTTTATGTATGTGTCCCTGAGGCTCGTTAGGCTGGCAACAATGGCTCTTACGCTTTGCCCTTAGGCATTGTAGCTAACTATTTTGGGTTCTGTCTCCGAATCGGGTTATGACTCGAGCTCAATTGACCCTCAAGTTTTCAGATGAGCTGGCGACAATGGCTCTTACGCTTTGGGCCGATGCAGCCTTTTATGTAAGCTGGCGACAATGGTTCTTACGCTTTGGGTTGAAGCAACCTTTTAATGCAGGCTTTGTTTTCCTCTCGTTAAGGACTTTTGCAATGATTTTGCCTGACCCATCGTCGGTTCGGGAAGAACCTCGATTTCAAGTCATTTGCGGCGATGTTTGAGCACCTTGGAAGGTTTGGCTCATAGGCTGAGTAGTTCGAAGCCTTGTGATTTGGAGCTGACATGGCCGAAGCTCTTTTGCCTGTCAAGGGTAGCTTGTTTAACCAGTTATTTTCAAAGTAGATTCGAAGTAATGGCCTATGATTTTTTAACGACGGTTGGGCGTCCCCGAGTCGGCTAGTACGGTCATATGACCATAGTCAATTGTGTTTGGCCGGAGCCATTTTTGGTCCCGAGTGTAGTAGTTTAGGTGTCTATATCAAGGGTATGCCCTTTTGAGAGTCTTACAAATGCGATATATAGCCTAAACTTCAGGATTGAGTTTATGCCTGTAGTAAGGTCTTACAAAATTTTCATGCCTTTTGAGGTCTTACAGTTTTGTTGATACTTGGTACAAGTACGATTCATGCCTTGCTTGAGGTCTTATAGTTTTTGTTGATATTTAGTACAAGTACGATTCACTCCTTGCTTGAGGTCTTACAGTTTTTGTTGATACTTGGTACAAGTATGATTCATGCCTTGCTTGAGGTCTTACAGTTTTTGTTGATACTTGGTACAAGTATGATTCATGCCTTGCTTGAAGTCTTACAAGACCGAGTCTGCCCGCTCAGGGTCTTACGACCTCGGGTTTTTTAATGAATGGCGACTAGCGACAGTCTCCGAGTCCTCGAGTTTGTTTAGGATTGGGAGCCATTACTCGTAAGCTCGGTATTGCCTCGTTGAGGGCTTACGATTTTGGAGATTCCGACCCTGAGGTCATGACGCTAGTCTCCAAGTGTTCGGGACATTTTACTTTCCTAGAGATATTTCACAATTTCCGTGCTGCCTCATTGAAGGCTTATGAGTTCGGAGTTCCGACCCTGAGGTTATGTCGGTGCCGAGTTGTTGACGCCAGTCTCCGAGTATTTCTGAGCGTTCTCGGTGGAGGGATCTTTGTTGTGAAAATGATGAGTTTCCTTTGGAGTACGATATGCTTCGGCGAAAGATATTCTTTGATTGCTTGGCATAAGTACATGTTGTTTTGGTGCCGTGGGTCCGGCTTATGCGGACACGGTTCATTTGACCAGTACATCATTTCCTATTGGAACTTTGTTCGACGTTCCTTGGTTTTTCCGAGTGGATGACCTTTTGAGGGGATGCCCTCCAGTGTTCGGGGTCAATTTAAAAAGAAGCCTTGTACGCTTGTTGGATCCTCCTTAGGTAGCGCGTGGACGTTGCCTCATTAAAAACCTTACCGGTAAAAACCCATTTTGGGATAAAACTCGGTCGAAAGAAAAGAGTGCAACGGATGCTTCGAAACCTTGAGGTCTTCGAGCTAGATCAGCATCTCGATTACTTTGGTCAATGGCCTGCCAAAAGTTATCGCAAAGTAAAAAATAGAAAAAGAGGGAGATAATTATACCTTAGTGGCGATGGCGCTCTTGGATTTCGGCCTTTGTTTGGTGGACGCGATATGGCCCTTTATTTCAATACAGTCGAGGGCGTGTCTTAAAAGATCATGTGGATGACATGTTAGGATTCGTCCGCTTTGTTATTTTTGGTTGTTTCTATTTATCGGGACTAGTTCTTAGCTCGATCGTTAAGGAATTCCCAAAGGTGTCCATTATCGAATAGCCGGGCCACTTCCTCCCTGAGTTGCCGGCAGTCCTCGGTTCTGTGTCCATGCGAGTTGTGAAACTCGCATATAAAGTTATAGTTCCTCTGTGAAGGATCCGACTGTACAGGCCTAGGCCATTTGGCGTCCCTAATTTTGCTGATGGCGAACACGATGCTCGATACATCGAT